ATATATATATCTTAAAATAAAAAACATTTTGTACTATAACATTTCACAGAAATCCGTATAACAAATCAACTAAGACTCCTTATAAATCAAAGAATTGGAAAGGATCTGAGCAGTAGGAATCAAACGCAGAAGACGTCGCGCAAATAATACATAAGTGTGTAATAATTATAAATGTGAAACTTCTTATTTTTTATAGTGAATAAAGAAATTTCACACTTATAAATGTATTATTTGCACGACATCTTTTGCATTTGACTCCTACTGCCCGTATCCTTTCCAGTTCTTTGATTTCACAGAAAGTTATTAAAAAAATCACAAATAGAAAGAAAATATTGAATAATCTTTGTATGCAACGATTTTAAAGAATGTAATCATAGGACGCGATCGTTAACGTGGCACAAGAAAAAATCAGGAACACCATCTTTTGTTGGCACGTATCGATCGCTTCAGAATTCATCGATCACTTCTTAACTTAGTCATATATTAATATAATGAATTAGTCTGGCGTGCGACTGCCACCGATGCTTGTGCTTGAATTTCCTTCCGCAGATTGGGCACTCGAAGGTGGGATCTTTCCCGCATTCGACCCGTAGATGTTTCTTCAATGAGTCCCGCCACATGTATCGTTTGCCACATTGATAGCAAGACCAGGTTTTCTGGGAAGACGCTGAAAAGAAAGACCGATGATCATTAAATTGTTCTCTCGACTCTTTTTTCTCGACCAAAACATCGAAAGCACGCGATTTAATGCGTCTTGGTGTTGGAAGAGCGCTAACTCTTATTATATCATTGTGATAAATAATCGCTGTGTTTTTATATTCTGCTCTCGGATAAATTATTAGAATTCTTTAGAATTCTTTATTGTCGGATATGTAATATATGTATGTAATACTTTGATATTGAACTGATCCCGTGTATCGAACATTATATCGCATATAATAGAAAAGTTGCTCGCGTAAAAAAGAAAATATTTTATAAAGAAGAATCGTATTATAAACTATCGTACATATAAAAAATATCGAAGAAAATTCGTTTAAACAATGAAGAAACAAAATTTTATTATATTATATTACAAATAATCAATACAAGAATGAATTGCGGTTTCAATCATACAATTGACCATACAAAAATAATATATGCGATTCCTAATAAGAAAAAGTTAGTAATAGATAATATCATAATCGCAATAAGTAAATTTGCTGATCAATTAAAAAATATATAAGCTTAAGAGAACATAAGCACCAACTTGCGAAAATTAGGGAGGCACTGAGAATTGGGAGGGAATACATCAATCCATTCTTTGCGATGCTACTAATAGAAATAAATCGCTAAAATAATTAAAATCTATCAAATTAATGAAGATTTTAATGATTTCAGCGATTTATTTCCATTAAGAGCAAAAAAGTGGATAATGTTGTGTATATTGTCTCATGTCCTTTCTCAGATTTCTTTCTGGTACGTGTATGTGCATACTCGGAATTCTTTACAGGGGCATGTTTAAATTCTCACTTGAATGCTCCCTATATCATGTCATCTTATTGTTTAACAAACTTTGAACAAGGACATGATATCCGAGAAATACCTTGATGGGAATTAGAACACGCCTTAATAAACGACTTTTCAGTATTCTGCAATAATCATTTCATCCTTGTTTAACATTGGCGAATAACAAGAATGTAATGATACACTGTGTCATACCGTGTCATTATACTGTCTCTTGTTGGAAGATTGTCCACCCTAGGACAGCAGACGACATGCCCGCGTTACTACTTTAATTCGCCGCATCAATGTTATGTATAGCATATGTCACGTGGTCGGTGCTTTCTCATAGTTTTGATTGCAGAAATTATTTGCAATTGTTAAAAAACCTTTTCTTAAACAATCAAAAGGTAAAAATTATTGAGCATTGCCTTCCCCTTCTATTAAAATTACTGAGAGGGAGGAGGGGGGGGGGGGGGCAAAAAGTAGTCTGCTTTCGCATAGTCGGCGACTATAAGAGAATAATGTATTATGTATCGAGATGAAAAAATAAAAACACTAAAATCTTATTACTTGCAAAAATAAAAAAACTATTAAATAAATTTGAATTTCTTAAAATAATTTATATATTTTAAATGTTAATTATACGTCATTTTTATCCCCATGTGCGAGTAAGATTCACAATCAGTAAGTTCACAATCATATTATAATAAACACTTCTTATATACATATATGTTATTATCTATTATTATTTCAGTATCATAATATAAGAATTAAAGAAAAATAAGAAATAAAAAAATTTCTGCGTATGATGAGATTTATTTACACAGATAATCAATATTAATTAACTAATTTGACGTAATCATGTTTACAATGCATATGAACAAATATAACTAAAATGCGAGATATTTGCATGTACGAATATTTCGTTATTATGTCTATTACTGAAAGTCATCTTACCCGCATTGTGTTTATTTATTTGATAAAAATATTGCAATATAAAAAATTAAAAATATTGGACATATATCGATACGTTCCATTATTCTATATTTTTAGCTATAATAAACTGTGATCTAAAGAAAATCAAATTACTATACTTATGCCATTCCTTATAAACTAATATTAAAAAATTATATTATTATGAGTGCATCTAAAACAAATTGTTATTATATTCATTTTTGTGGACATATTGAAATCAACAAAAGATGATTTATTATTTCTATATCAGCTCTTATCTGTTATTATTTTAGAAAAATTAGTCATTTTACCCCTTTCTCGCTGTCTTTAAATTATATCGAAATATATAGGTTCAGCGTAACGGTCCGCCTGATTTCTCAGACACTTCCGACAGTTAAAAAATATATAAAATGAATATTCATCTGTTTTATACAGGCTATGCGAAAAAATTTTTTTTTAATTTTTTATGAAAAGAAATAACAAAATCTTTTTTATTGCATGTTGTATAAAGCAGATGAATGTTCATCTTTCAGTTTTTTTTTAACTGTCGAAAGTATCTGAAAATATCCTGTATACAGTGTAAAATCCCAAAATTCGTGAATCAAAATGTTACAGTAAACAAGTTTTCAAAAAATTAAGTAAAAAATTATTTATATTAAATTTTATATTATATATTAAATTTTTATGTTAAATAATAGAGTTTGTGAAATAATAAGAGTTTTAATATAGCCAATTATGGATTACGTTTAAATAGATTATGTGCTGCAGTGCGTGCTTACTAATATTACCTCACGCACGATTCGTAGACAGATGACAGTCTAAACATAATCTGTAAATGACTGTTTAAACTCTTATAACTCAAAAACTACTACTTGAAATAAATCTAAATCGTAGATATAATTGTTGAAATAAATCTAAATCGTAAATGATATAATCGTAGATATAATTGTATATAAAATATGTCAATTTTTTTATATAATTATGTATAATTATATATGAAACATTTTTTTATATATGAAGAAGTGAGAATCTTACAACATACGTTCAGACATACTGATGGTCCCGAAGTAGGCCGAAATGTTTATGAGTAACTAATTACACTACAGTTTTTTACAATAAATAATTTTTATTTTCGCACTAACAACCGCGCAAAAAACTCTCATTAGCCCTTGTTTGTTTTTGTTTTTCTCAAGAATTTAG